ACTTCATCAAACTGCTCTGAGACTTGACTTTTCAGGCTTTCCACACCAAATATGAGGTCTCTTGGTGTGCCTAGGTGCTCACGCAAGGTCTAAGTCAGAAGCTGCTGGCTGGCTGCCTGGCTAAATGGATGGATGGATGGATGGATGGATGGATGGATGGATGGAGATATTGAGAGGGGAGGCGGGGAGGGAAGAGTTTGGAAAACATTTGGTATGGTGGTTTATTCCCCTTAGGAACAGCCATCTTGTCCCTACAAGGGGTTTCACCAGACACTCCCAGGATCTGTGGGCATGTCTAATGGGCAGACCAGACCCCACCACTCCAGGATTCTAAACACGTTAAATGAAACCTCAGTGACTAACAACCACAGACCAGAGAACATGGCGGTCAGAGGACAGCCACTTCCCTGTTTCCTTGGTATCCAACAAACCCTTTGACACATAAACATTTCTCATGGGCACTGCAGTAAAGAGCCAATGCGTAAACAGTTCAGCAAAGAGGCAGCAAAGGCACACAGGCCCTTCATGATCTATCAATTCAGTGATGAGGAGACGAACAAAATCTGCATGGAATGGAAAGGAGTAAGGCCTGGGAATGTCGAAGATCCCGGACTGATTCATTCATTCATTCAATATTCATTGCAACTAAGTGTCAAGACACTGTTTAGGGCAGTGGGATGCAAGAGTGAGTCAAGAGACAAAAGTGTCACCCTCGTGAACCTTACAATTTATCTGGTAGAGATAAACAAAGAAGCGAAGAAGATACATTATGTCAGATGGTAAGAAATTGGGTGGAGGGGATAAAGCCGCACAGGGAGTTAGGGAGTATCGCAGAAGGGGCCAGGAAGGGCTTCTCTGACTCTGAAGAAGGCAAGGGGCCACGGTTCACGTGCAGGGAGGGGAGCGCAGCCACATGGGATAGGCCTCGCCACCAACTTGCTGCCTGATCTGAGCTGCAGAAGGAGGAGCTGGGGCGGTTGGTCCGGAAGGTCTTTTCGGCCTTCATGTGCCCTCCTGCCCCTGCTTTCTTCCCTACCGGCTGCCCCAGCTAGACTGAAACGAAATCCTGCAGCCCCTCAACCACCAGCCTCGTCACCCGAACATGGGGGCTCTTCTAACCTGCCCATGATTAGCCTACCGGAAGCCTTCTCCAGCATCTGCCCCCTCCACTCAGGGCTGGCTGGGGGTGCCGTGACTCTGAGCTTCTGTAAGAACCTATATCCACCCACCCACCCCTCCTTGCACATGGTGTCCCAAACCGCTGTCACTGTCTACTTGCTCCCCTAGACTGAAGTCCCCAAGGGCCGTAACCATGACCCCAATGTCTATAATCCCACCCCTAGCACACTGTTGTTTGGTGTGCAACAGTCACCCACTGAATATATGCTGAACGCCAAATGTTGACACCATGTTGAGTTCCCTGAGGGCAGGGCCCAGGTCTGGTTCCCGTCAGGGGCCCCGGGAGGTAGCAGAGTGCTGGCACAACAGAAGGAACACCGGGCTGTTTGGCTGCTACGTGGTTTGGTGCCTGTGCTGCGTTTTATCCAGAAAGCCAAGTCATCCTCGGTCCCCGACTGTGGAGGGTGCAGGGCCCGTCCAGATGTGGTTCTCTGGGGTTGAGGCCACGACTCCGGGCTAGGAAAGCATCACATATGCTTATGTGTGCTGTGGGTTTTTCTTATTAGAATCTGCATTAATCACTAACATGCCTTAACCTCATCTGTAAGCTTCTATGCCCAGAGATAATTTGGTGTTTGGGGCATGGTTTTTCCAAGCCAACCATTTTACAAATCAAAACCTAATACGGAGTGTCCTTCAAAGCCATGGGAGGCTCTAGATGGCAGCTGCCATCGACAGGCCTAGAGTATGGGTGGCTGGTGCTTCCTGTCCGCCCCTCTCTTTGTATGCTGTGGCCATGAGGGCATAAGTTTGTCCCTAAGGGCTTCCCGTCTTCCTTTGCAGGGTTTAGGGTAGTTCCAGCATCTTTCAAATAGAGCCAAAGAGACTGAGAAATAAGTAGACACCATCTAATTCTACTCTTTCACAGGACAAATGGAGAAAGTGGGGCCCAGAAAAGAAAAGCAGCAAAAACTCTGCGAAATATACGATTGTCTCTGCTTTACAGAGGAGTGCGCTGAAGCTCCAAAGCTCAGTAAGCAATGCCTGATTCCAGAGCTCGTAACCACCAAGGCAGAGTCATCCAGGTCTGTCTGACCCTGAGGGCAAACGCCCCGTCAATGGCTCAAAGGCAATTTTTCCCCCAAGGCCCCAGGGAAGCTGTCTGGGGGCAGGAGGGAGGCCAGCTCCCTCACTTCCGGAAGCTCAACAGAAAAGCACTGGAGGGGGGGGGGGGGGTTGACTGTAGCATTTCCCACTGACCCTGACAGGCAGCAGCTGTGGTGTTCTAACTTGCTTTAAAAAGCAAAGTGAACATAGAGAGGGCTGAGATTTCTGTGTGCCATCACAGGGAGATAGAGCCCTGGGGAAGAGCTCTGTCCTCCTTGGAATTTAGCCTCAGAGGTTGTCTTAGGGCAAGATAACCTTAGAGCTAAAAATGGAGCTGTGTGTTTCTATGTTACATACGTGGGCGTCCATGAGTCGTGTCTGTTTGCAAGAATTCTTCAACGTGTGGTGTGTGCACAGTTGTATGTGCGCGTGTAGCAGGATGTGAGGGACACAAAGGACTAAGGACGCTCTTCTTTTCCTCCCTCTCCTCCTCTCTCTTTTTCTTCCTCCCTCCCTCCTTCCCTTCCTTCTTTCCAGGAACATAAAGACACTATAATTTTTTTCCTCACTCAGAGATGCAAATAAACATTCAGTCTGAACTACCCCTTACTCCTCACCCCTACAGAGATCTCCGGCTGTAATCATAGCTGGTAAGAGGTGGGGGCCGGGGGGTGAGAGGGGCATCTCATCCAGTAAGGCAGATCTGAAGAAAGGCAGGTCGCCTTCAGGTGAAATTGAAATTAGGGTCGGGAGCTTATATTCTTTAAGTTGATCCTGGCGAGGCTGATTATGGTTTTGTAGTGCAGGACCATGAAAAGAAAAGACAGAGATTCTGGTGGCATCAAGACCAGCCTTCAAATCTCTTTTCTGTCTCTTACCAGAGGTGAAACTTATTTTATTTTCTTAATGTTTATTTATTTTGAGACAGAGACAGTACAAGTGGAGGAGGTCAGAGAGAGAGGGAGACACAGAATCCAAAGCAGGCTCTAGGCTCTGAGCTGTCAGCACAGAGCCCGATGTGGGGCTGGAACTCATGAACTGTGAGATCATGAGCTGAGCCAAAGTCAAATACTTAACTGACGGAGCCACCCAGACACTCCTGGAGGTGGAGCTTTTAGTACTAAACTTCTTAGGTTCAGGTTGGTTGGTTGGTTTTCAACTGAAAACAAGGTAATCAAAACGCATCTCATCGAGTTACTGAGAGAACCCAATTGACGGAGTGTGAGCTTGACCCAGTGCCCGGCACACAGAAGGCACCAGAAACAGGTCAGCACCTTTATCTTTTGGGCGGCCGTAGAGCACATAGTGCACAGAGTTGGTTTCAAAATTACCCAGTATTTTTCTCTTGGAAGAAATGAAGAACAGGAGGAAAATGAACAGAGACCCACTCCTCCAAACGACTTTGCCAAACACTGAAATTACATTTGTAAAATTGCTTCCAGACCTGGGTAGGATACAAAAAAAACTGAAATAGGAAACAAAATATCTTCGCTAAATTAGCTTTCTAAAAGCAAAGAGGGAAGCAGAACAACAACAACAACAAACGAAGAATGGAGGGGAGTGTGATTTGTGTATAAATAAAATCCCTGTTTGAGGTTTTCATAGGTTGGGGCCCACCTTTCAGCCCCGCAGGTAATGGGAAGCCTGCCCAGAGGCCTCCAGGCTTGGAAAGGATGGTTTTGGGGGGGTGGGAGGGGAGAGGGAAACAAAACAAAAAAACCTTCGGCTAGTTTTTCCAAATCCTAATTACGTTTCTTAAAGAAGTCAAAATCAAAACGTTCTTTTGCAAACAGCTTTTGCTCCCCTGAGCTATGTCTGACCTCTCAGCGCCTTCGCGCTCTGCATCAAAGGGGCCGAAGACAGGAAGTGCCTTGGCACAAGGGCCTCATTCAAGGAGAGAGGAAAGGCAGGGGACCATATTTAACTCGCAGAGAGAAACAGACCCGCTGCTGTCTGTGCAGCAGCTAGGAAGAACAGGGCACTCACCTGTGCCGTCCCAGCACCTCTAGGAAGCCAGGGCAGACATGGCCACAGGGGTGCAGATCGTGACCCCACTGCTAGCTGAGGGACCCCCCAACGTGCCGCTTAGCCTCCCTGGGCCTTAGCTTCTGGATCCAAGCAGTGGGGATATACACTTCATACATTACCGTGCTATGATGAGGTTATATGCGCTCATGGAAGCAGAGGTATTCCGTAAAACTAGAAATCATTCTACGTGGTGGGATATTGATAATTTTTAAACTCTTTCCGTCAGTGGGGGATGGAAGAAGACTGGCACGGTGAACACAAGGAATCTGATGACAGGGCTTGCATTTGAGCAATAGTTCTAGTGTCTGTCAATTCTGACAGTTTACTTGAATTCTCTGAGCCTTACTTAGTGATCCTTTCCTACAACAGAGACAGTATTACTTATAACCCAGGGGGCCTGGAAGAGTCAAATGAGTTAACGGATGGTCAGAAAACAGTACCCGTGACCATTAAATATTATACAAGCGTCTTCATCGCTTTATATTTTCAAAATGGGTGCATAATCTTTATCAAGCAGCCATGATAAATATTATTTTTATTTGAAAAATGGGAAAAGTCTAGAAAGGAAAACAACTTCTAATGTTGCGGCCAAGCTGAAAGCAGTACCTAATCTTTCTAGCTAATTTCTTTATCATGGATTTCACAATGAGGTCTACCCCTAACCATCCTGAGGGCTCTCTGCACAGAAGGGATTTAAGCTGGGGCTCCATACTACATTCCATTGGAATCAGAAGGAAGGTACTTACCACCAAATACAGCATAGTGTACATGGAGAAGGAGGCGTGGCCAGAGAAGAAGGACTTCCTGCAAGAGCAAGAGAGGGCCATGAGAGGGCCGTATGCACATCCCTGATACATGTCTGCCTGTCTGTCTCTCCTGCCTAGACTGTGACCTCGACACCATCACTGTCTTGTTTGGTTTTGCCACTTTGGTAGTCCACTGGACGTGTTTTTTAGAACCTAGCAGGCACCAATGAATGAATGAGTAAGCAAAAGAATGAATGAATGGACCTACCAGTATTCTACCATAATTGCTTACTTACCTATGCAGCTACATCATTTGACCCTGAGCTCCTTAAGGATGGGGACTATGCCTTATTCACCCACTGAAACCGAAGCCCAGCACTGAGCCTGGCACCCCTCGTAGCAGGTGCCTTCACAAGTGCTCCCCAAACTGCCCATGCCTGTGGCCACGGCAGGTGGTGACTCACCTGGCCTCTTGGACTTTGCTGTCATCACCTCTGCATTTGTAGTTTTGGATGTAGCCCTCGGAGCAGTTGATCTGGCTGAAATCGGGGTTGCAGACGTTCAAGAAGTGAGGACGCAGGCGCCCAATGGAGACTTTGGCAATGTCTGTGAAGGACTGGCTGATGGCACAGCCGAAGAGGAAGCAGCCCACCTGCTTGTAGAGGGCTGCCACGTAGGGATTCTGAATCGCTGGCCGGGACTTCTCCTTCAGGTAGTAGATGCGGTAGAACTCCCCAGTGATGATCTGAAAGGAAGCCAATGGGGGGATTAGGTCATGTCAAGACCCGTCATCAAAGCAGATGCTGACAACATTCAGTAGGTAACTGCAGGCTGCAATCTAGAACATCCCAGTTTTCTATTTAAGAAATAGAGAGACAGAAATACGCATGAGAGGAAAGAGCAACGTGCTAACAACATGGTCATTTTTTTCTTTTTTAAAAAGTCCCAACAGGGGCGCCTGGGTGGCTCAGTCGGTAAAATGTCCAACTTCGGCTCAGGTCATGATCTACCAGTTTGTGGGTTCGAGCCCCGCATCAGGCTCTGTGCTAACATCCAGCTCAGAGCCTGGGCCTGCTTCGGATTCTGTGTCTCCCTCTCTCTCTCTCTCTCTCAGAAATTTAAAAAAAAAAAAAAAGTCCCAATAGAAATATACAACCAAATATATTTATATGTAAATAGATATAATATGTAAAAATAAATATTATAGATAATATATAAAAATAGAAACATTTTACATAATGTATATTACATTTGTATTTTTTTTTAAACAAAGAAAGAGACAAGGACTCAGCTGTGGAAAAAAAAATTAGATGAAGAATCAAGGACATGGTCAAGGATGGCCAGGATGTCAGAGGATCTGAGCAAATGTCAGGATCTGGGCTTTTGAGCAAGGGGTCGACAGCCTTGTGTCAACACTGAGCCGCAGTGGGGGTTTCTGTAGGCGGGTGAAAGCCTAAGACCATCTCCTGGGGGTAATTCCCCACTCTGCCACCTGCCCGGTGTACTTCAGCAACAACTTAACCTCTCCAAGCTTCAGTTTCCTTCTCCTTCAGAGGGGGCTGCATGCCTTTTCAGGGGTGTTGGCTTAAATCTGGTTAACACGGATGGGAAACGACCTGGGTCATCGAAAAAGATTCTTTCATTTTCCTTTGTCAAAAAATGCTGTGATGAAAAGAACTGGCCTACAAACCAAGAAGCTTTTCTTTTTCTTTTAAATAGAATCCAGTTAACTATTAAGCACTGTATTTAGTTGGCATGTTTCTTTACTTGTCTTTCTTTATTTTTTTAATATTTATTTAGAGAGAGAGAGAGAGAGAGAGAATAGGGGGAGAGGGAGAGAGAAAGAGAAAGAGAGAATCCGTTGACAGCACAGAACCCAACACAGGGCTCGATCCCATGACCTGTAAGACCATGAGCTGAGCCAAAATCCAAAGTCTGACATTTAACTGACTGAGCCACCCAGGCGTCCCCAAACCAAGGAACTTTTAACACAATGCAAACAGTGGTTGCAAACTTCCAAGTCTCGGCACACTGTCTCCCATCTCCTCCATCCTGAAGGACGGCCAGTGAGTCTGGATCTTCATACCCTTCCTCCATCCCACTTTGTTTATTCCTAACACTTAGGGGAGGATTGTCACTCCTGGAAAAAGAAGAGCCACCAATTATTGATTACCTACCGCATACCAGATACTGCTTTCATAGACTTTGTTTCATGAAATGCTTACAATAAGCATGAGGTAGGTATGGCTGCAGCTCAGAGACAGGAAGCGGCTCCGGTCAAACCGCCTGGCTTTACATTAGAAATGGGAGCAGGGGGCCAGTGTGTTCTCCGTAAGGCAAATGCCCTTGATGCCCACACAGCAGAGAACCAACTCCACTCTGGTAACGCCCCCACCCCCACCCCAGCCTGCTGCTCTTGTCTTAACTCCACGGCACAGCCTCGGCCACTTCCTGCTCCCAACCACAGTCCAGGGACAGCGATGTTCAACTCCACACATGCCACAAGGCTCCCTTCACAATTCCTCCCGGGGCAGGGTGATGAGCCACACTCGCTCTTTTAGGGAGCAGAGAGCGCATTCACAACCGCAACAGAAGCAATAGAATGACATATCCGGACACTCCTTTCAAAGTCTCCTGGTTTTTTTGTTTTTGTTTTTGTTTTTTTTTACAGCTGGGGAAGGGGTCAGCGCATGGGATCTGGTCCAAGTTCTCAAGAGCTCCCAAGTCTAGAGGGAGGATGGCCAGGTGGCGGGGAGATGCCAGCTGGGCCCCGGGGCCAGCAGGTATGGGAGTGAGAATAGCCACAGGCGCTACTAACATTTATACAGCGATTCCGTGTTTATAAATACTTGGTTGTTTCTAAGTGCTACACTTTGCTTCCCACATCACACTGAGTGTGATTCTACATTAGAGAGAGATGGCCAAAGGCCAGTCCAAGTCCTGGCTTAGCTGTTCCCTGAGGGGCAGGACTCATACCTGATCTTGCAGAGGTGCTCAGAGAATACTGGTTGAATGAAGGAATGAATGAATGGAAATCGGACCGTAGTTTTCACAGTTGTTTCGTTGCAAAATTGGAAATATCCTCAAAATATTACCAAACGTCCTTTGAGAACAGGTTGCAGAGATTAAAATCTGAGAAGCCTAGCAAGTCAGAAATGAAAGGGTCCACTATACACGGAAGAAACTGAGGTCCAAATTAACTCGCAACCGAAGACTGGACCCAGGCATTCCCGCTCCCTGCCCAGCATTCTTTCCTAGGGCTCCTGGTCTAATTCCCCTCTGAACCTGTTTATACTTTTACCCTGTGTAACCTTACAGGCTAACAAGTTCCAGATGTTCACTACCACCGTCATGCCCTCTCTTTCTTCTTCTTTATTTATAAATCATGCTCACGTGACTTTGGATGCAGGGAGAACATTGCGGTAGGAGTCGGTAGCCAGGGTCCAAGTCTCTACTCACTGAGTGGATTTGAGATAAGCCAGTTCTTCATTTGCAAAATGAGGGCGCTAGACTCTGTAATTTATCACTTCATAACTGCAGTGACATTTTGTTTTTGAAAGAGAGAGAAGGTAGGTATAAGTGAGCAAGGGGCACAGAGAGAGAGAGAGAGAGAGAGAAAGCGAGAGAGGGAGAGAAGCGGGGTTCACCTGAAGCAGGGCATGAGCTCACCCAAAGCGCGGCTTGAACTCATCTATTGTGGGACTCGAACTCACGAACCGTGAGATCATGACCTGAACCGAAATCAGATGCTTAACGACTGAGACACCCAGGCGCCCATGCCATGCCATTTATTTTCAACTATCCTGTACCACCTCCACCACGAGCCTCCCATCCAAGCAAAGGTAATCAGCAGTAGCAGAGGTAAGGCACTTCCTCCGAGATGAAGCCATGGGCACGGAGCAGAACCAAGGCCCCGTGCACAATCCCCGCCCTTGGATGGCTCCTGAGTTCCTTGAACCGTACCGCTGCCACAGATGAAGAAACTCTAAGCTGTCTTGGCTTGAGCCCGATTTTCCTATTCAATGCTGAAAAAGAACACGCAGCCTTTTCACTGCAAATCAGCATCTCCTACTCGAATCTACCAATTAATCTCAGGGGATTCGCTGCTGTGCTTGAGTCACTTTAGGGAGAAAAGGTTTGCTTACAACTCAAGGACTCCTTTCAGCGCTAAGATCCCTTCATTTGAACACTTTGGTTTGGGTGCCACAGCCTCGCACACAACAAACGGCCAGTGAAAATGCTTCCTCCCCTCACTGGAGGAGAAAGAGGGAAAGAAGGCATTTTATGGCACCTCAAATTCTTCATAACAATGCTAATAAGAGCAGCCATCTTTTACATTTCTTTCGTTCTTCTTGGTTTCATTTGATGTGCGTGCGGCTCTGTGAAGTTATACCCATTCTGTAGCTGATAACAGTAAGGCACTGAAGGACAGTCACTAACCTGAAGGATCTGAGGCTTCAGAGGGACAGAGCTAAAAGCAGAGACCAGATACGCCGACTCTTAAGCTCAAAGACTCACAACAGGCTGTACTGAATTTTTTGATTACAGATCTGCCTCAACCTTCGATGGCATGACATCCTGATAAATGCACCCTAAGCGGAAAATATTGTTAAGTCAGAAATGTGCTGAGCACACCTGACCTACCGAAGATCACAGCTTCTCCTGGCCTATCTTAAACATGCTCCGAGCACTTCCATTCGCTTATATCTGGGCACATTCACTACCACAAAGTCTATTTTACAATAAAGTGTAGAAGAGCTCATGCAATTTGTTAGTTATTGCACTGACAGTGAAAAACAGAATGGTTGCAGGGGGTTCACCCTCTTGATGGCAAGTCTGACGCGCTGCTGGTACCTGACATCACTAGGGAGTGCCGTACCGTGTATCACTAGCCCAGGAAAAAAATAAAAATTCAAAATCAAAGTGCGGTTTCTACCAAATGGGTATTGCTGGCACACCATCGTAAAGTTGACAAATCCTAAATCAAACCATCCTAAATTGGGGATCAGCTGTATTTTTATTGTTATTGAAAATGATCCCCCCTGCCCAATAGCAACTGTATATTTTCAAGGACAGGGCCAGGCTGAAGCCATTTAGCAGACACATGACTCCAGGACCACATGGCTTCCGGGGCAGCCCTGACAGATCTTACAGTTAATGAGCAACAAATTATGTATTTTCTCTATCCCCTTGTACAGAAGGGTCGGGGAGTCGACAGCACAGCCATAAATCATCATTATGAACCAGCCGGACTTGGCTTCTTGTAATCCTAACCCTTAAAAGACCATTTAATGAAATTCGGACTGTGAAAGGCGGCCTGAATACCTCACCTCTGCAGAAGAGGCGAAGGCTTAAATTGTTCTCTGACACGTTACACACCTAACGCCGGAGTTCCAGATTTACAGCTTTCGGACTTTATTCATTACTCACAGTGTTTTTATTCCTGGGTAATAAAATAAGCTCTTCCCTCCCCCCTACAAAGGCTCTGTCCCCACCCCCAGACTCCAGCCCCTGGAGCCCTCATTTCTGCTTCAGTCAGCAAGGCTGTGATATGTAAATTTCACTGCTGAGAAAAATGCCTTCAATGTTGATCCCTTTCTAAAACAGCAAGCAACAGATTCCGGGGGCAATGGCAAGCTGCCAGGCAGCAGAGGCGAATTCTCCCCTACCTGCCTTTTAAAGCACTTGGCACAGAATCTGGAAACTAATAACGCGGGAAAGCATCACAATTAAAGCTACAAGGGG